AAAAGGGCTAATGTGATCCTTGGATGTATAAGAACGGGATATAAAGTAGAAGTAGGGAAGAGATCTTGCCTCTGTACTTCTTATTGATAAGATCAATGCTAGAGTACTGTGTCCAGTTCACTTGAAAAAGGATGCGAAAATATTAGCAAGATTTTGAAAGAGGATCCCAAAACATGATCCAGTGGATGAAAAACAAACCTTACACTGTGAGGCTTAAGGAACTAAACTTATCACAGAGAAGGTTCAGGGGTGACCTAATCTCTGTGTAGAGGTACTTACACATGGAAAAGGATATCTGATAGCGTGGGAGTTTTCAACCGTGCTGACAAAAGCATAACAGCTTCCAGCCATTGGATTTTGAAGCTAGACAAACTCAACCTTGAAACAAGATGCAATCTCTTAGCAGTAAACAAAATTCAACATTAGAACAGCTTACCAGGGAAGGTGGTAGTTTTGACACCGCTTGGAGTCATTAGAGGTAATTAGATATCTTTCTAAAAGCATACTTGAATTCAGCTTCTGGGATAAATTCGTGTGTGTGTAAGTGTATGTGTAAAAGAGACACAGAGAAGTTTAGGCTGGTTGGTCTTCATGGTGAATCACGCTGTTCATTCCCTTCCTTCACAGGCCATGGGGAGAACAGGAAGCTATGCATTGCGCTGAACATATTCATAACACTTGTAGCTCTGCATTAAGACAATAACTGTGATCAAATCTCATGCTTCAGACAGATGCTACAGGGGTCAGGAAAGATATTCCCACCCACACTCCATGGACAATTGGCCTGATATATTCCCGCCTTTCTCTAAAGGATCAGAGATTAGCCAGAGCTGCTAATGGGACATGGAATGGAATGGATTAGTGCTCTGAGTTGGTACTGAATGCATCCGATCAAGTGAGCTGTAACTCACGAAAGCTTATGCTCAAATAAATTTGTTAGTCTCTAAGGTGCCACAAGTACTCATTTTCTTTTTGAGTTGGTACAGATAATCCTATTGCTTAGATGCACCAGCCAGGCAGGCTCAGGGTCCAAGTGATCACCAGATTTTGTCGTGGGAAGAAATTCTACCCCACCCTCCCCCAGATCAGACTGTCAGGGACCTCGGGAGCACTCTCACTATCACCTTCCTCTACAGCAGTACTTTTCAAAGTATTGGGTCGCAGCATGTAAGGCACTGGGTTGCTTTGCTCAGCACCCAGGGACCCTAGTGGCTCTGGCCAGCACTGCCAACTGGGATGTTAAAAGTCCCGTTGATGGTGCTGCCCAGCTAAGGCAGGCTACTGCCCACTTGTTCCAACACCGCGCTGTGCCCTGGAAGCAGCCAGCAGCGGGTCCAACTTCTAGGCAGGGCGCCACGGGCCTCCGCGCACTGCCCCCACCCCCCCATTGGCCAATTCCTGGCCAATGGTAGCTGTGGGGAGGGCGGTGCCTGGGGGCAAAAGCCACGCAGAGCCGCTTGCGCGCCTCCACTTAAGAGCCGGACTTGCTGCTGGCAGCTTCCAGGGCGCAGCACAGTCCACGGTGCAAGGACACGCGGGAAGCCTGCCTCTGCACCCGGCTGCGCTGCTGACCGGGAGCTGCTGGAGGTAAGCCTGTGCCCCAACCCCCTGTCCCAGCCCTGAGCCCCCCCCCAAACCTGGAACCCCTTCCTGCACCCCAAACACCTCATCCCTGGCCCCACCCCAGAGCCTGTACCGCAAGCCCAGAGCCCTGACCCCCTCCTGCATCCCAACCCCCTGCCCCAGCCCTGAACCCCTTATTCCTGGCCCTCCAACATCCCAAACCCCTCAGCTCCACTGGGTCGCGGGCATCAACAATTTTCTTCAACTGTGTCCCCAGAAAAAAAGTTTGAAAACCATTGCGCTACAGCATGGATCCCCTGCTAGAATCATCTAGGCATATTTCACCTAATCAATTCCTTGACGTGGCAGGGACTTCAGGCATTGGTGACATCTCTCCTATTCTTTGCCTATGGCACTCAGTGTTTAGTCTCCTGAGGACCGAAACACTTTAGTCTAGCTAAAGTCATTGAGCCCAATATAAGGATATCGGGATGAACGGCCCAGAATTCACAACAGACTTCAGACTCAATGATCTTATGGTCCCTTCTGGCCTTAAACTCGATGGAACCTTAACTGTCTGTTAAGGAAGCTTTTTGGCCATGCATTCTTCTTTAGTTCAAATGGTACAGCAACTGCTTAGATATCCAAAGGTTAAAGCCTAGTATGGCTAGATTCCTTACAGTGTCACCATTGTGCCACCATTCACACTCATCTAACAGTCTGGTACACGAGCATACTCTAATGCACCGAAAAGAGACCAAAGTGCATGCAAAGGTTTATGAAGTAGGCCACTTTCAGGGCCTACACCTTTCACTGTACACCATACCACTCTATGCCAAGCACAACGTAAGAGTTAAACTCACTAGAATCATGATCTCTGAAGACAGCACAGATGCGTCAGTCACCAGGATTACAGAAAATTTCATGCTGCTGGTAGTACAAAGACTGGAGCAGAATGGCAATGGAGATGAACACCACACCACACCACAAAAGCTGAAGAGTCATTCAGTCAGGAAAAAACCATTGGTTATAGACGGTGGAGAAAGAGTATATAGAATTACATAAAGAAACAGTATATTTAGGGTGTCAAGTCAAGTACTTAAGTCAGTAAATGCCAACCTTAATTCTGCTCTCTCATGCGTATGCTGTATAGCCATTAATTACATGGTAAGGGCACACACTGAATAATAAGGAAAAAAGAATACTGAATGCCTGGGCAACCCTACTTTTGGTATTTCTTAAGTTTCTTAAGACTTTACAACCTTAACTTCCTTTTAACAGGTTTTTGTATGTAGTCCCCCCTAGGGTTTGGGGCCAGGGTGGGGTGGGGGTTAATGTAAGTTAACTTCCTCTCTGAAAGAAGTTGTTGCGTGAGTATTGGGGGCGGGGGCGGGGCGGGAATCAACTACATGGCACCACACATACACTTAGAATCTAAAGGGAACCTGCGGCTTGCCTGGACTTAGGAAAGCTTGCAGTTTACACCAGTAACTGTAAGTGCTCCTTTGGATCAATAAAACAAACTGTAATGTTCCTGGTAACATCTTATGTACTAACAGATAACAACAGAAAAAGAGTTATCAGTCTGTGAGATCAGTAAGCTGCATCTTAAACAGGATCCTTTGCCGTGTATTTGTACAGCTGCTACTTCATCCTGAAGTCATCTCATTGTGTCTGGGCATTATAGGGATAAGAAACCTGCTCAGAAAGCAGGCCTTTTAGAAGCTATTCTGCTAGGCTGTGTCCTGTAGCAACCAACAGTATCATGCATTCACATGTTAAATTCCTGGAGATCTGGGATGTCATGTGTACTGACTTAAAAGGGTGAACAAGAAGTTTGCATTTGTCATTACCACATGAAGAATCATGTTGGAATTAAAATCATCAGTCATTTTAGCATACTACACACAAAGCTAAATGAAAAGATAAAAACATACAAAAAAAAAAAAAACCAAGGAAATTCAGAGCCTATACTAACATCTTGCCATGCACCATGTACAGTACAAAGCACAGATAGCATACGTAAATTAAAATCAGATTGTGATCTGTTGGGTAGGAACCATGTCTTTCAACAGGCTCTGGAAAGCCTCAACACTTTTTGATGCTGTTGAGAAGAGAGAGAAGAGAAGAGAAGAGAAGAGAAGAGAAGAGAAGAGAAGAGAAGAATGAAGATACACAGCATTCTCAACAGACTGACAGGCACACTGCATTCATTTCAAAACCTCACTTAGCTTGTTCCTTTCATTCAGAATGAAAGCACTTCCCCCAGGATATTAATAGCAGTAGCTATTAATATTTATATTGTAGTAGCACCCAAAGGCCCCAATTAGGACTGAAGCACTATTGTGCTGGTTACTGAACACACATACAAAGACAATTCCTGCCCAGAAGGTCTTACAATCTAAAGACAGATTTCAGAGAAGCAGCCGTGTTAGTCTGTATCCGCAAAAAGAAAAGGAGGACTTGTGGCACCTTAGAGACTAAAATTTATTTGAACATAAGCTTTCATGAGCTACAGTACTCCTTTTCTTTTTACAATCTAAAGTATCTTCTAACCTACTCGAATACCAGACAAGTTAAAAACAAACTCCATAACAGCATTCCTTCTGTCTGAATGATGTAAGGGGGAGCTGGGTACTTATAGCTCACTAACTCAGTCATTAGACAAGATGCAATAAGAAACCAATAGAGGTGGAAGTGAGGAGTACCCTGTACTACAGAAATAATGTAGTGAAAAAAACAGTTGCAGACCAAAGTTATAAGCAAAGGAACATTACATAATCAGCATGTATTTGAGTAACTGCTTTCATAACTTAAAAATAAGGACAAGCTTTTTTCAATTGGATGGAGGAGACATCCTTCAAGATGACAGATAACTGACAAGTACTGAAGGTAATAGAGAAAGGGAAAATGAGGATTGATGTAAGGAAGAAATAAGGAGATGCTGGATAGAGAATGTAAAAATCCAGAGATGGAAAGAGAAGCCCGCTGAAGAAATTCAAAAGCCCCTGGAAAGAGAGACCACCTTGCTTTACCTGTTTGCCACAAGCAAAAAGGATCAAAAAATACACAGTGAACAAAACTTTATCCCAGAACAGATACAAATAATTCCAAAGGTCAATTAGTTTGGACAATATAATTAAGGATCCCATTCCACAAAAAAATAATAAAACCTAAAAATTGCAAGCCTATAATTGGTATATTAGATGCATGAACTTTGTTCTTGTACCCATTGCTAATCCAAAGCCATGAAGAGGATCTGTAAATAGTTACAAATTCAACCCCTACAGCATGCTGAAGCTCCAGCAATTGATTGGATTTATTCCCATCACTCTACTACCGTCAAACTTGAAACACACAAAACCAAAACCACATCACCATGTAACAACTACTTCATAAGCATTTAAAGAGGGACTGGCAAGAGTTCCTATACTTACTTGTGTCCTCCCATCTGAGAAGGTGCAGCTTCCATGCAGAGTAATAAAGAAATCCAAGTACCAGAAAGAGACAAAGGGCTAGCAGCAGGTTACGCATAAACACCAACAATCCCATCTTCATACGAAATCTGCTCTTCTACATGATCTGGAGAAGAAAAACAGTTTGAACCTTGAACCATCCAGCTTGCAATTCATTCAAGAGCAAGTACACTATAAACATGAGAAACTCAAGAAGCAAGTCAATGTTCTGAGCAATGTAAAACTCATACAAGTTATCTAAACATGATGCCAGTGAAAGTACCATTAATATAACTTTGGGCTCAGTCAGTAACTCCCATTCTGAAGAGCCAATTAGGACGCTACATAAGAACAAGAAGCCTGCTCAGTTCACTTTCATAGAATCATAGACTTTAAGGTCAGAAAGGACTATTATGATCGTCTAGTCTGACCTCCTGCACAACGCAGGCCACAGAATCTCACCCACCAACTCCTGTAACAAACCCCTAACTTATGTCTGAGCTATTGAAGTCCTCAAATCATGGTTTAAAGACTTCAAGGTGTAGAGAATCCTCCAGTAAGTGACCCATGCCCCACGCTGCAGAGGAAGGCGAAAAATCCCCAGGGCCTCTGCCAATCTGCCCTGGGGGAAAATTCCTTCCCGACCCCAAATATGGAGATCAGCTAAACCCTGAGCACGTGGGCAAGATTCACCAGCCAGACACCCAGGAAAGAACTCTCTATAGTAACTCAGATCCCACCGCATCCAGCGTCCCATCACAGGCCATTGGGCATATCTGCCGCTAGTAGTCGAAGATCAATTAATTGCCAAAATTAGGCTATCCCATCATATCATATCCTCCATAAACTTATCAAGCTTTGTCTTGAAGCCAGATATGTCTTTTGCCCGCACTGCTTCCCTTGGAAGGTTATTCCAGAAATTCACTCCTCTGATGGTTAGAAACCTTCATCTAATTTCAAGTCTAAACTTCCTGAAGGCCAGTTTATATCCATTTGTTCTTGTGTCCACATTGGTACTGAGCTCAAATAATTCTTCTCCCTCCATGGTATTTATCCCTCTGATATATTTATAGAGAGCAATCAGATCTCCCCTCAGCATTCTTTTGGTTAGGCTAAACAAGCCAAGCTCATTGAATCTCCTTTCATAAGACAGGTTTTCCATTCTTCAGATCATCCTCTTAGCCCTTCTCTGAATCTGTTCCAGTTTGAATTCATCCTTCTTAAACATGGGAGACCAGAACTGCACACAATATTCCAGGTGAGGTCTCACCAGTGCCTTGTATAACAGTACTAACACCTCCTTATCTCTACTGGAAATACCTCGCCTGATGCATCCCAAGACCGCATTAGCTTTTATCACGGACATATCACATTGGCGGCTCATAGTCATCCTGTGATCAACCAATACTCCAAGCTCCGTCTTCTCCTCTGTTACTTCCAAGTAATGCATCCCCAGTTTATAACAGAAATTCTTGTTATTAATCCCTAAATGGATGACCTTGCACTTTTCACTATTAAATTTCATCCTATTACTTTTACTCCAGTTTACAAGGTCATCCATCCTGTATGATATCCCGATCCTTCTCTGTATTGGCAATACCTCCCAGCTTCGTGTCATCCACAACTTTATTAGCACATTCCTGCTTTTTGTGCCAAGGTCAGTAATAAAAAGATTAAATAAGACTGGCCCCAAAACCGATCCCTGAGGAACTCCACTAGTAACCTCCTTCTAGTCTGACAGTTCACCTTTCAGTGTGACCTGCTGTAGTCTTCCCTTTAACCAGTTCCTTATCCGCCTTTCAATTTTCATATTGATCCCCATCTTTTCCAATTTAGCTAATAATTCTCCATGTGAAACCGTATCAAATGCCTTACTGAAATTGAGGTAAATTAGATCCACTGTGTTCCCTTTGTCTAAAAAATCTGTTACCTTCTCAAAGAAGGAGGTCAGGTTGGTTTGACACGATCTACCTTTTGTAAAGCCATGTTGTATTTTGTCCCAATTACCATTGACCTCAATGTCCTTAACTACTTTCTCCTTCAAAATTTTTTCCAAGACCTTGCATGCTACAGATGTCAAACTAACAGGCCTGTAGTTACCTGGATTGCTTTTTTTACCTTTCTTAAAAATAGGAACTATGTTAGCAATTCTCCAGTCAGGTACAACTCCTGAGTTTACAGATTGATTAAAAATTCTTGCTAACAGGCTTGCAATTTCATGTGCGAGTTCCTTTAATATTCTTGGATGAAAATTATCCGGGCCCCCCAATTTAGTCCCATTAAGCTGTTCGAGTTTGGCTTCTAGCTCGGATGTGGTAATATCTACCTCCATATCCTCATTCCCATTTGTCGTCCTACCATTATCCCTAAGCTCCTCATTAGCCTCGTTAAAGACTGAGGCAAAGTATTTGTTTAGATATTGGGCCATGCCTAGATTATCCTTAACCTCCACTCCATCCTCAGTGTTAAGCAGTCCCAATTCTTTCTTTGTTTTCTTCTCATTTATATGGCTATAGAACCTTTTAGTATTGCTTTTAATTCCCTTTGCAAGGTCCAACTCTACATGGCTTTTGGCCTTTCTCACTTTATCCCTACATGTTCTGACCTCAGTAAGGTAGCTTTCCTTGCTAATCCCTCCCATCTTCCACTCCTTGTAGGCTTTCTGCTTTTTCTTAATCACCTCTCTGAGATGCTTGCTCATCCAGCTTGGTCTACAACTCCTGCCGATGAATTTTTTCCCCTTTCTTGGGATGCAGGCTTCTGATAGTTTCTGCAACTTTGACTTGAAGTAATTCCAAGCCTCCTCTGCCTTTAGATCCAGAAGTTTTTCAGTCCAATCCACTTCCCTCACTAATTTCCTTAATTTTTTAAAGTTAGCCTTTTTGAAATCAAAAACCCTAGTCACAGATCTATTTTTGTTTATCCTTCCATTTAGTTTGAACTGAATTAGCTCATGATCGCTCTAACCAAGGTTGTCCCCTACTATCATTTCTTCTTTGAGGTCCTCACTGCTCACCAAAACCAAATCTAAAATGGCATCCCCTCGTCGGCTCAGCAACTACTTGGTGAAGGAATCCATCAGCTATTGCATCCAGGAAAATCTGAGCCCTATTATTATTACTAGCACTTGTCCTCCAGTCTCTATCTGGGAAGTTAAAGTCTCCCATGATCACACAATTCCCATCAGTATTTACTTCTTTAAAAACATTAAAGAGGTCTCTATCCATATCCAGATTGGATTCTGGCAGTCTATAGCACACCCCAAGCACTATCCCAGGGCAGGCTCTAGCAGCGTTCTTCCCCAATGTGATTTTTGCCAGACAGACTCTGTCTTATCCATTCCATCACTTCTTATTTCTTTTCAGTCTACCTCATCATTGATGTACAATGCTACTCCACCACCTTTGCCTTTATTTCTGTCTTCTCTAAACAGCACATACCCTTCAATACCCGTACTCCAGTCATGACTACTATTCCACCATGTTTCTGTTATCCCTATAATATCTGGTTTCACTTTCTGCACCAGTAGCTCTAGTTCCTCCATTTTGTTACCTAGGCTCCTCGCATTAGTGTACAAACATCTTAATTTTTGCAGTTTGGCTTTGCTCACAATCTTTACCCGATTGGGCACAGACATTCTACCACCAATATTACCTATTAGATTGGTATGTACACTGCCCTTCCGCCTTATGTCCATTCTCCTACCCACGGCTGTATCCTTTCTTACTTTGTTTTCTTCCCTCTCAAAAAGAATAACTGGCATGGAGATTACCTGGACATCTCCCAGCCATCTCCCCCGAATTCCTAGTTTAAAGCTCTCGATCAGTTGTGCCATCCTCCATCCTAGAAGTCTATTTCCCACCTTACTCAGGTGAAGTCCATCCCGAGAGAACAGTCCTCTGACCATGAAAGCTTCCCAGTGGCCATACATCCCAAAGCGCTCCTTATAGCACCACTGCCTGAGCCATCTGTTGAGCCTCATAATCTTGTCACACCTTTGTTGCCCTTCTCTAGGAACGGGCAGAATCCCACTGAAGATCACCTAAGCCTCAATTTCCTTTAGCATCTTCCCCAGCCTGGCATAGTCTCCCTTGATATGTTCCAGCGAGAAGCTAGCCGTATCATTTGTTCCCACATGAAGGATAATCAATGGATTCTTTCCTGCTCCCATTAGGATCCTCTTCAGCCTCAGGTCCACATCCCGTATCTTAGCACCCAGCAGACAGCACACTCTTCTGTTCTCTGGATCAGCTCTTGTTACAGGCCTGTCTATTCTTCTCAGTAATGAGTCCCCAATCACGTAGACCTGCCTTTACCTGGCGATGGTGCGATTCTCCAGTCTATCCTCTGTTCCATCTGGCTGCAAGTCCTCTCGATTCCTATTGTCCCTTGCAATCCTCTTTAACCCATCCCGTATCCTCCTAGGACTCATATATGGTGTTGTTATCTCCATTGACTCCTGCCCTCTTCCAATAGGATGATCTGCTCTTCTCTTTTTCCTTGTTCACTCACCTTCAGTGACCACCTGCTGTGCCCCTTCTTCTTTTTCCAACTCCACAAACCTGTTCCTGAGCTCTATTTCTCCTTCACTGCCCCGTCTTTTCCTCTGCCTGGTTCTCTTAGTCACATGCTTCCACGGTCCACTTTCCTCACCCAGCAGTATCCCCTCAGAGTACTTCGGTCCTGCTTCCATCTGCAAGTCTGAGCTTTTCCCTTCAGCCTCCTCATGTCTTTGCCCCATCATCTGCTCGAACCCCCTTCTAAACTCAACCACAGTCTCCACCTGCATCTCCAATCCTAGGATCTTGAGCGGATCACTGCGGACTACATGGCTCTGGGAAGAAGGATAAAGGAGTCTGAGGCATAAGTGGTGTTCTCGTCCATCCTCCCCATGGAAAGAAAAGGCCTGGGTAGGGACCGTCAAATCGTGGAAGTCAACGAATGGCTACGCAGGTGGTGTCGGAGAGAAGGCTTTGGATTCTTTGACCATGGGATGGTGTTTCATGAAGGAGGAGTGCTGGGCAGAGACGGGCTCCACCTTACGAAGAGAGGGAAGAGCATCTTTGTGAGCAGGCTGGCTAACCTAGTGAGGAGGGCTTTAAACTAGGTTCACCGGGGGAAGGAGAC